AGCGTGTGTGGCAGCTGTTGATGTGATGTATGTCTGTAGTTTGTTGGAAGTGCTCTTCCTAACGCGCCAAATCTCTGAACCATCACATAGAAGCACTGACTTACTTGACATTGGTGTTAAAAATCCAGACCTTGTTCTTTGTGCTGAGTGCAGTAGATCTCCACACTGATTTCAGATTAATTCAGGGAGGCCTGTCTTGCTGTGTTCCCGATACTGGTTCTGACATCCTCGTCCGAGCCGCCGCCTATAATTCACACGCTGCTGCTCTGCATAGACGGTAGGTGAAACAGACTACTTACTTTACGTTGCTCCCATCGATGGGGATTGGTGCCTCTTGTTGTTCATGCTGTTGTTGGTTGTGTATCTTCATCACCTCCGTCCTCTTTCTCTACATTCACTTGAAGTCCCGTTTCCACTGCCCTGCCTTGCCTCTTCTGTCAACTTGTTAGTTTTCGCCTGTAGATCTTCGAGTTTGTGTGACGAGATATTTGACATAAATCTTCTCATCGTCGGCGAAATCCAAATCTCCTCCTTGAGTATTTTCATCGGTCCAGCCAGTGTACGCTCATCTTCTTGCTCCTCACAGTTATTGTCTGTTGTCCGATCCAGTCGAGTCGACCACAGTTAGGAAGGTTATGGGTGATAGTAGGTGGCAGTCTTGTCTTACTTCTGTCCCCTGTCTTCACTTCACTTCACTTCACTTCAGAGGCGTCACTGAGATTTCCATTGTGGATCACTTGGCATGTGGCATCTCCATTTACCTGTTGAATGAGGTTGATAAAGATTTGTGGCACTGAGACCGTAGTGTTGAAGCAAGTGCCTGTCAAATCATTTCTCGGTCGACGCTGTTCAAGGCCTCTTCAAAGTCAATGAAGTTGAAGTTGAGTTGAGCTGAGTTGACTGCCATTCCATCCTCTGTTCTATGATGATGCATGGAGTAGCGCAGTGTTGCAATTTGATCTGCACATGATTTGTTATTCCTGAAGTCAGTCAGTCAGTCAGTCAGCCAGCCAGCCAGACTGTTCCAGTCGTAATTTTGAATCAAGAGCATTGTTTAGTCTCTCCAGGGTGATGTGGCTTGATATTTTCGACAGCAGCATGATTCGGTGGCAGTTTTTGCAAAATCTTAGGTCTCCCTTGTTTGGGAGTTTGATAAGGTAGCCCTTGTTCCATTCGACAGGCAAGTACCTGTCGTCCCTTCATTGCAAACCTTCTTCAGTAGTGGTGTGAGCATGCCTGCTGTTGTCTCTGTGTCCGTTTTCAGTGTTTCTGGTGGAATTCCATCTGGTCCTGCTGCTTTCCCGAATTTTAGCAGTTTTGTGGCATTCACGACTTCACTTCTGCCTTTGTCGGAGTGTTTGTGTTAACTGGCAGTTCTGTGGCTGGGTTGCTGGTGGTATTTCTGGATGATTTGCATGTGGTGGTGTTGGTGATTGTGGTGGTCGATTCGAGAGTTTTTTGAAGTGTTCCCCTCATTGTTTCCTTTGTTGCTAGCTAGCTTTCCTTCACTAACTTTCATTGGTTTCATGTGTGCTGTGTTGATCTCTTCCCTCCCAGATAGTAACCTGGTTATTTGATGTGGTGTTCTCAGGTCTGTATCTCTCCTACCTGCAGCCTGTTCTGCTTCACTTGCTAGTGTGTCGTGGAAGTGTCTTGTGTCTTTGTGCACACTCTTCTTCACTTCTTTGTCCATTGCATTGTTTTATAGGTTGTGTTCAGCTCCCCTTTTCGCTCTTCATCCCTGCACTGCACTCTACTGCACTGGTTCATCTTCTGCTTCACCTTCTGTTTCACCATCTTCCTCTCCCTCTCCCTGCTCCATCAGCTTCCATGTGTCCGTCGAGATCCATTCCTTGTCCTGCCTCTTCTTCTTCCTTCCTTCCTTCCTAACACGGTTATGCAGGATCCCTTCCACACAGCTTTCAAAGAGTTCCAGTGTTCTTCCACGCAGGTTCCTTCAGGGATGTGGCTCAATGTCTCCCATCTTGTTCTGATGACTGACTGACTGACGTGAAGATGTACTTTGTAGTTTCGTCATTCACTTCAGTTCAGTTCAGTTGAGTTCAGTTTCTGTTCTGGGTGGTAGTTGAACTTGAACTGTGGTCTATCGTCACCATCTTCTTTAAAGCCTTTCAACTTGATATGGAAGGTAGGTTCCTTGTACTAGATAGTGAAGTGAGTTTTGTGAACCTACATACATCTGCTCCCCTTCTTGATCTCAGTAGACTGAGTCTCCACTTCCTTCACATTGAGATGAAGTCGATCTGATTTTCAGTGTGTCCTGGTTTCTGGTGAAGTCAAATCCATATCACTGACTTGTGAATATCCTTGTTTTTGCACACACTGCCCCGCCTCCAATCACCAAATCGTTGAATGCAGAGAAGTCTGCAAACAGTTCTCCATTCTCATTCATCAATTCACTGAGTGCTTCTAGATCCATGATCAGTTAGTTCTCTTCCTGTGTTGTCCGATCCCAGATTGGCAGCATTCATGTCGCCCACCCATTAGAATTTTGATGTCACCGTCGCCAACTGGGGAACTGGGGTGGAGTTTTGTCTAGTAGTGCTCGCAGTTGTCTGCAGAATTCCTCCTTCTTCTCTTCATCTGCATTATTTGTAGGTGCATAGTGTAGCGTAGCATTGTATGATTGTGACCTTCCTTCCTTCCTTTTGAGTTGATTCCACCTTGCTGTGATGATGCTGATCGTGGAGGAGGAGATTGGTTCGCACTGTGTGTGTGTGAGAGAGAGAGAGCCTTCGACGTTGTTGGGGACATCATGATATCCACTCGAAAACTCAGTGTGCTCGTGATTGTCGTCTGTGTGACGATATCGGAGTAGATTATTGACTCTCCAGTTGACGGTTTGGAGATTCCACTTCCATCTTATCTACTCTAGCAGATTCCCAGCACTTCTATGCTATACCTCCTCATCTCTTTTGCAATCTCGGCCACCTTGCTAGGCAGCTTCAAACATTGTGTGGACATTCCATGTGCCTATGCTTACTTTCGCTTTCATCGAGAGAAGAGAAGAGAAGACAGATCGGCCGATTGGCTTCTCGAAGGGAGGCTTTCACCAACCGGTATCATTTCGTCTATCGGATTCCAGCAAGGGTAAGTTTATTTTTATTTTGTTTGTTTTTCTGTGCCTCGAAGTTTCTTTAGCGATTGGATTGGTTTTCTGTTGTAGGGTTGCTAGCCCTATGCCCAACCTTCTCTCTTTATCCTAGCTCAGGACCGGCTAGTAACTAATGAACTAGTTAACCAAGAGAGGTTAACTTTCTACTTACAATATTAAAAATCCATAGATAACCTGGTGGATACCAGTAGTTTATTGAAACACTTGTTCGCAGCAACTAGAGCACTTTGATAAACTGAAGTAAGCTAGTAAAACTTCATCTTGATGTTGAGAGATTTTTGAAAGACTATAAGAAAAAATACGTGAAATCCAACGGAAATCAAGAGATGGCCTTTTTCCAGTGTCTGTCTTCGATAAAGAATAAGAAGTTGTGAAGACGATTTAAAATCTTTTTGTGACAAAATACCTCGAATTCGATCCCGGATGAGTTTATATTTGTAGTGATTATATACGATGCTTTAAATGATTCTCGCTGATCTAAATTTACTTTTCAGACGTAAGATGTTCACTGTCTGCTATTCTTCTTTGTATATATATAGCATCCACATTGTCTTTAACCAAATAACCATACTTTCGAACTGCTTAACTGGTTTTTCAGTAGACAAGTTTTTCTTCAAGAAATCAGCCGTCTAGTGAGTTTTCTGTCGGGTATCCCCACTACATAAAAAGATCAAGTTCATGGTGGACTGCAGAACACACCTAGTAAGCAACAAATTTTAAAAAAGTGGGATTCAGCTCATCTGTTAGGGATTATGGCCTAGTCGCTTTTGTATGTGGATTACTACTACTAATGACATTTCCAAATCGGTTCACCAGTCAACTTTTAAATGATTTTGTTCATATGACTAAAAACATGAGTATTGATTCAAAATTAATCAAATTGTGTAGTGGAAATTGGTAGTTATATCGGGATAACAAAACTAAGATTCTTGCCGTAATTATGGATACGTGGTAATAAAGACGAAGAAAAAAGCCCAGTCTAATCCTTTGACATATTCAGTACCACTCAGTTAAACAAATTCAACTCAACCAACATCTATTTTGAATGAATCTAACCAACAGATAATAAAATTTGATGATATGAATAGATGACAGTTAAAATACAGAATATTCTATGAACATTTATACAAACATTTGTACTATTTGACGACTGAAAATCAGAATTCGCTTGAAATGATACGTAATAAACAATGTGTCAAAGTTAACTTCATTAGACCGTTGAATGACTTTCTTGTTGAGTTTGCTTATAAGGTGGCAAACAAAAAGGAGGCTCATGAAGAAAGTTTAGTTAGTCAAGCTATGAAAGGAGGTTAACAAACATTTATGGCAAACGACGGAAAGTGCGTTATTGCGATTTGATGGAACGAGGATTGTTACTAGAGAATTTCTTGTTAGAAGACGACAAGGAAATGAATAAGTTACAACACAACAATCACAAGCCTATTATAACTGAAAAAGAAGGGATGTAGAAACATAGTAAACTGATTAAATTTCTACATGACGTTTTAAACTTATCATGGTTTCATAATCAGCTAATATACGAGGAAGGTACCCCAATTGAAGATGATGCTGAAACACCAGACTGTCAAATCTCCCCACCACTTTCTGAAGAGCCGTCAAGAACAGTTGAGACTACTTTAAGGGGCTTAGACTATAATAAATTTTGAAAAGGGTTATCCGAATAAATCACAGAATTCTACATGTGAATACAATGACTTCACCATACCTATATCAGGTGGCTTTATTCAAGATTTACTAGTCAACCATAATCTATGCATAGAAGAGAAAAGCCAACAGAATGATGTGAAATATCGTTTGTTCTATATACTGAAGAAAACTAAAGAACAAAGTAACCAGTTGAAAAATGTGTTATTCAGAACAAGAAGAGATACAGTTTTCAAGTAAAATTATAACGGAGACCGAAAATGTATTACCTAAATCACACATGAGTGATACACATCACCATATAACAGTCAGTGAAACCGACAGTCTAACACCTATCAAACTGAACAATAATACTGATTGCCTGCATATAAACAGTACAATTGACTGTATGAATGAAAATGAAGAAGAAACACGAAATGTGGAATTGAAGTATTTAAAAAAACAGATTGAATATTTTGAATTTCGTAAAAAGGATTTGGAAGGTATGCTTACTGAAGAGCACTAACAAAGAAAGCTCCTGATGAATAAAATCCACAACCTTGTAAATACAATACATATAAGGCGTCGTATCAAACCGAATCCTGAAGACTGTACAAATTATATCAGATGATAAAATCATTGTTCCAGTAATACCGCTCAGTGCTACATCTAGGCAGAATGACGATAAAAATTGTGATAAGGATACTGATTCTGCTACATGCACAATTGATAGGAATAATCATATGCGTTGTTCCATTTTTGATAAAGTGATTGGTCCAGATGATGCTGCCAACAATGACTTGCTAAGGAAAATCATAAAGTCAGCTCCTAGTTGTTTGAAGGGGTGTAACTTAGGAATAATAGTTTATGGTTCACAACAAAGCAAGAAATCGTTTACAATGTTTGGTAAACCTAATGAGGAACAGATGACCGTACATGTTAATAACGATATGGATGGGGTAATGTATAATATAACGAATGTACTGCTAGCAGTGATTAGCCAGCAAAAAATGGAGAACTGGAATTATACCGTACGTATTAGAATCTTGCCAGTGCAAGATAACTGTGCGAAAGATGTGTTCAGAGAGGTGAACTCAACATTGATAAAGACAGTAAAATCATATATCACCGACGATAACAAAGAAGAGAATGAACAAAATTGGATACCAACATCATTTTGGAAGAGTTTGAATTAAATTACAATGAAGATTTCCATCATTTGCTTGGATGCATACATACTATCGAATGTCAGAATAAGGAGTTTATGTCTTCGACAACATCACAATCACAAAGAACTGGGCATTTATTGGTTAACCACATCATAAGGGGTACTCAGCCATCTCTTAAGTCACCTACAGAACTATCACCGATTGTACAGTCAAATATAATTCTGGCGAAGTTAGCTGGCTGGTAAGAAAGCAAGAGGCTCAACACTTATCACACAAATGACTCAGACCAAGGGGAAAGCTAAATAACAATTAAGCGTTACGATGATTGTCACGAGTTTCAGCACAGAGGTCCTAAAATTATGATGACATCACCCTTGTTTGAAGTGAACAAATCTCTGTCCACACTGTCGAAAGTGTTTGTCATGTTAAAAAAACGTAAACCTAATCCACCGACTCATGAATCTTATCTAACGCGTCTAAGGAAACCCGTGTTGAGTAATAATACTAGGTGTTTTTTTAAATTTTAACTATTGATACTCATCCAAATTCATATGACCTAACTATGTCAAGTTTGCAGTTTGCACAAACTACAATAATGGCTACTACGTCTAACTTATTGCGTAATGGTGCAAAGTTGGAACTAAGCGGTTCTGTTTGTTAGATTCATCATTATCATTTCAGCAGCAATCGAAAGAATAATAATAATAATCGGAACAAAGAATTTTATTCTTGAATATATACACGACTTTTCTCAGTTGACGACAATAAAAAAAGTACTGCAAGCTATCAATAATCTTTACTCATACATAATTGGTCTATTTTTTCTACCGGGTTATTTTAAACGATCTAAAATTTGCACAGCAGATTTTGTAACTCTAAAACTTTGTAACAGTACATAGACATCATTTTTAGCCAAAAAATTACATATGACATGACTGCAGTTATTATACAGCCAATGAATAATTTTGCCACTTTCGAAAGTGAAGTTTAGTTGACTTCTGATACGTATTAAAACTACTACCATTTATATTAATTTCATATATTTGCAATACTGTCGATGTACTGACGCTTATTTAACCTACGAATTCAGTCAGCTTTATAATAGACGTTAATTTACTTCAATTGTATTTTCATTTGTAACTTAATTCAAATGTTAAGATTCTGAAGTTTTTCCTGATTTACTTTAATCTTATATCCTTGAAATATCCGGAATCGCTGCAAATTTCCGTTCCATGTTAAAATTATGGTGCATTGGTTATTTTTTAATAGTGTTTTGTTCTACGTTATGAAAGTTTACTGTTGTCCATTAGACGGGGATACTTTGCTTTCCATCAGTGCTTAAAATTACTTATAAACCTCAAAAACATTTTTTGGTGGTGCTCAATGCTGTGTCTGTAGAAAAGACTTCTAGCAATATGTTTTGGGCTTTTCAGCTTTTACTGTCTCAATATTTCAGTATTTTCAAAATCACTTTTCTAAAACTGTAGATCATAATGGATTAGAGGATTAGGGATTTCGTGGTATTACGAATGCTTCATTGCCATTTTGATTTATTTAGAGATTGATTAGACAACTTTTTCGTCATGAAATTATAAATTTGGTTCTAGATAATAATGATTTACAGCGACTGGTCGTTAACACGATTCCTGTAGGCTCATGGTCTTCTTCGTGTCTAAAAACAAGACAGAGAGAAGACTGAGAATTTAATGTCATTCGAAAACTTGCTGCAAACAGGAATAGTCTACAGAACTGTATAGGACAGGCTTACGGTTATATTAAGTTGTCTGGATGCACTTAATTCGCAGATGTTTGTATAACACTGTAAAGTTGTATCGAAAATTTACAATTACTGAGGAAATACCAGTTTTTGAAAAGGAAAAACAGTAATGTTGTTGTGCTGCAAAATGATAACAAGATGTAGTTCATCTGAATCATTTAATGCATTGGTAGAAAATATTTGAAACAATTTGATTACAAGTGTGCTTGTCTTAGGTATTGATACGAAAGATAATAAAATGCCATGGGTGAAGAAAATTATGGAATCTGAATGAAAATGTCAACATAATGAATACAGATTAAACAAAACAAGAGCAAAACAACCTGGGCCGCAAAGCTAAATCTACCAAAGAAGGTTAAAGGCATCCATTACTCATTTGTGAATTAATAAATGTAGTTTAAAAATCCTTATGCCTAACGCTCCGATACATTTTAAGGTATTTCTCTGATATGTTCAAACACCAAAATCTAATTAAAAGTCTCAAATCCTCTGAAGTAAAACATAAATTTCCTGTTGATTCCAAAAGACTCGTAAGTGAGGCCCTATCTATTAGGTCAAAAGTTTATGAGATAAGCCAAAATATCAGCAAAATTTCATGTACACATACAGTTTAATAATTTTGTTGGCTAAAGCATTAGCCTTATCTCAATCTATGAGCAATCTCTTAAACACTATAAATCATCCACTCTTGACCATTAAAACTATCACCTCAACAAAGAATCAAAGTTAAGTTGTTGCATAAAAAGCAGTATAGAGAAAAACACTAGCAGTTAAGTTGCAACAGAGACCTATTTATATGTTCTAACAAGATTGTAGGTGTAGTTCTCATGAACAGTAAAGCCTTAATTAACAAAAGTTTATTTGCTTTATTGGAAGGTAACAGAGTCCTCTAACCTACCGATGAGAAGAACAAGACGAAAATAATTGAACAGAAACATACTGAGGATCGACGAAGACTCAAAACTAATCAGATAATCGGTGAGGATGCTTACTAACGTTTTACACCTATGAGTTTGATGATACCGAGATTCCATAGCTTACCTAAACACCTTATCATGCAACCATAAAAGGGTTGGTAAAATTCTGAAAACCTCTCCAAAAGGAAGTTTCAAAATACAGTCTAAAAGGTATCTCTGAGTTTGTTGAAAAGATTGAGCATCTGAAAAAAGATAAGTTCTTGATGTCGTACGATATTTTATTTCTTTTTACTGACGTTTGCAGTGAACTGACTAAGTATGGCATCGAATAAATAGGTACCTCTGTCTCCACCTTGAAAGAACTACTTCTAAGATGTAAAATGAGTTCACATTTCCTTTCCGACAATGAGTTTTACAGGCAGTTTGATGGTGTGGCTAGGGGATCAACCCTTGACCCAATTTTCCTGAATCGATCGGCCGGTTGAAATTATATTGCCATAACATGGAAGACGCCTCTAAAGTGTTAGTTAAAATTAAAACTATGATTTCTGTCTCATACTCTACAAATCCCAATCTTCTCCAGTTATTTTTTTGGGACAATCAGCTACATCTTATAACGTGGGTAGATTTCGGAAAAATAATTCTTATTTGAAAGTAGTCAGGAACGGTGATAGAGGTGAAAATAGAAAAATCAATTTCGCCTGAAAATCTTAATCTTATTTTGTACTCTCCGAATCATGAGATAGTGGATTCATGTTCATTTTCCCTTCAATAAATTAATAAGTAAAAATGATATGTACAAAAGCGAAAAAAGTAATTTATATTGAAAGTAAGCATTTGTGTGACAGATGCTTAAACTACGCACCTTATTTATAACCATTCATTTTTAAATTTATGCTGATGTTATTGCGATTGGCTGTCATAAACCCCAAATTTAGGTGAATTATACAAAAGTATATTGTAAAACTCAAATCACACTACTCCCTTCTGCCGTTTTCAGATAGTACAGTACTACTTCTACCTTTTCTGCTGACTCTGTGAAAGATGTGACACCTGCGAAAACTCATGTTTTCTGGTTGATGAAAGAAAAAGGAGAAGATAATGAAGATGCTATAGACAGCTGATTTAAAATAATCTTTGTGATTGCAATCAAGATAATTCTTCAAGGAGTCGTTTTCTAGATCGCCTGGAAAGATACTGGCAGTTCAAAAGGAGAACTGCTTGAAGAACGCTCTAGATCATAGTTTACTTGCCTCTTGTCAAATGAGTTCGATATACATATGCACTTTTAGAACGCATAGATGTTTCGCCTCCAGAAAGCTTAATTTTAAACAGAATATGAGTACTAGAAATTGCTTGTCAGTTTGTGTTACAGTCTGATGCTCCGAAAAATTCAGAACATATCAGTCTTCCATTTAAAGGCAGTGTGCATAATAAAATCAAACGGAGGCTAAATACAGACATAAGAAGGACATACTTTTCCGTAAAACTGACATTTCTTAGCATCAGAAAGTGGGTGATACAATAGTCCAGGAAAGACATAACGCTTATCGTCAACACTTCTAACCGCTTATGTTAATTCAAATCTATTTGTGAAGGCAGATACATAGGGCGTACGGGGAGCTGGTGGTTTACTCCTGTAGTTGAGCAGTTGCCTTGATTGTTAGGTCATTCTGAAGTGAAGACTCTAAGAAGCTGTATAGCTAAATATCTCTTAGACTTCCGGCATATCAACGTTACTGAATACTTTAAAATGGTCAACAGGCAATGGAATAAGAAGTTGCTAGCAATCACAGAAGCCTGTACAATTCGAGTTCATAAACTAACTCATTGTGTGCATGAAGAAATGGTGGTGACTCTTAATTCACCTTGGTAACACTTTTAATGTACAGTGAATTAACCAATTAATTTATGTTTGTCGATTATCTTTCCTAGTTAAATACGTTCCGTACTAACTTGTTCAGTCTAATAGGGAGATCTGTTACTAATATTCATTCACTAACCGGTTATCAACTATTTTATTCGCGATGACGTAACGAATCTCTAATCAGTCAGCCTTCACACCCTTCCAACTGTTTCACATGTCCACTTGACAGTATTCAGAAAAAGCCTTTCGTTGCCAACCCTTATTCTTCGTCTGAGATATAAATGGATATGTATATCTCACACCGTATTAAATAACAGTATATATGGCCAAGTAGTTGGAGTATTCAGCTGAAGCGTCCTACCGAAATTTATAAATCCATCAAATCCTGTTTGTTGCTTGCTATATGTATTGCTTTTGTCAATCTCTTGTTTTGCTAATATTTCATTCAGTAACAAGTTTGAGAAAC